GATATAAGGAAGAAATTCTTTACAATGAGGGTGGTGAAACACTGGAAGGGGTTGCCCAGAGAGGTGGTGGAGGCCCCATCCCTGGAAACATTCAAGGCCAGGTTGGACGGGGCTCTGAGCAACCTGATCTGGTTAGTGGTGTCCCTGCTCCTGCAGGGGGGTTGGGCTGGGTGACCTCTAGGGGTCCCTTCCAACCCAAAACATTCTATGATTCTATGATAGTTAAGCCACCAGTCCCTGAGCCCCACTGTGCACCTCATCCCTCTGGGCACGTGCATCTTCCCATGGTGCCCAGCTGGGAAACTGCATCAGCGATTCATTTCCCAATTAGCAATAGTTTCCCTCTGCACAAAAATGGTACTAATGTATTGCTCTGATTTTGGTTTTGAACCCTTCTCCCAATACTAACAACAATAAATTCTCCTGATAATAAATTCCAATAACGACTGGAATAATTCAGCTCCTTGGTGCAGTTTCGGGGGCAGAGGTTATGGGAAATTCCTGCTTGGGGTTTTTAGTAGCATTTCTTGAGGGAAATGTTGAAAATTTCACTTCTTCAAGATCCCCCTGGAAAGTCTTTCCACCTCTCGACCTCATCTCGCTTCCTGAAATGTAGCTATCTCCAGAGCAGCTGTAGCCGCGGTTTGAGGCATGACAAGGGTCTCTTCAGGCGATGGGAATATTTATTTATTTGCATTAGGAGCATGGCTCTGCAAGCAGCTGTTTTGCTTGAGGGAAAGCCGGGGCTTATTTTTGAGCTGTGTGCCTGGCTGCTCTTTATGTTGATGGAAGCCCTGTTATTTCAGTGGGGTGATTCACTGTGTTTTGAAACAATATGTGACTGAGATGTCAGTAGTAATTGGGATAATACGAAATAGCTCGCTCTTATCTTAGCCCAGATCACCTGTAGAGCATCATCCCTGCTTGGCAGCTGGGGTGAGGTGAAGCAGGGACCTGGACTGCATTGAACCACCCAGTGCCCAGGACCAAATATCTGTAAGGGTGATACCTTCAGCCAGAACTGGGGAGGGTGATGGGAAGCACTGGGCTTGGCACGAAGGCGATGGATGGTCTCAACTAGGGTTTGGTTGGAGCTGTTGGCTAGGTGGTCCCTGCTCCAGGCTGGCTACCCCCCCCAGCCAAGATGCTGGCAGGGAGGAGGTTTGTCCCTGGGGAGGTGCCCTGGAGCACCTCCAACACTGGGGTGGGCCAGCAGCTTTTCAAAGGCATGCATGAGTTTGCAAGCCCCACTCAACATCTACTTGGGGCCAAAACACTTGCTGTGCCTTGGCCCTGCTGTCCTTTGCTGACTGGATCTGGGGACCCTTTCTGGAGGGTAATGCCTGGGCATTTGGTTACTTCAGCAGTCCTGGGGTAATGGGCAACCCCCATGGGAGAGCTCCCACCATGGAGGTGCTGCTCCTTGGAGGGACTCCTCTATTGGCAGAGGCAGGAACCTGGCTTTGAGCATCTCTTCAGCTTTCCCCTCCTCCTCTGCCCCACTTAGCTTTTAACCTCGTACGTTTAAGGCCACAGATAGGGCTGTGCCTTCCCCTGCCTATCAGGAGTGTGTGAGGTCAATGGGAGACCCACAGACCTGATGAAACATCTCCCCCTCATTTCCCTTTCTGGCGAGGAGGAGCCTGGATGCCAGTGCAGGGCTCCTCAGGACCATCCTGCAGGCATCCTTGCCCCAGCAAGTGGTGTATTTATTTTCTGCAGCCGGGCCATGCGAGGCCAGTGCTTGTTTGGCATTTACATTGAGTGAAACCTTATAACTTTAATAAGATGTAAACTGTGTTGCACATCTCTGCCGTCGCTCAGCAACCCTGCAGTAATGGCCCAAACAAAGCCTCCCCGTGCAGAGGGAACACTAAATCCTATTGTGGGATAATTCTGCTCGGCCAGAGCTGGTATCTCCCCTGCAAGTCACCCTGGCAGGGACTGCACAGCTGGGATGAGCCCCTGCACCACTGCAGCTCGATCCCCATCTCACCGTGCTTTTAGAGGAGATGCTTTCACTGGCCTGGGGCTTCAGGCTGGGGACTGGGGTTTTGGGATGTGCTAAGGGTGTGCTAGGGGGGCTTCAAGGGATAGTGGCCCTGCTAAGGACTGGAGGGCTCCTGGCTCCAAGCTGCCACTCGGCAGCCACTATTTCCCTCCAGCTGTGCTTGGGATGGCCTTCTGCAAAAGTCCTGCTTCAGGGCTGGCCGAGGAAGAGATGCTGGGCTAGATCCTCAGCTGGCTTACCCCAGGTGGCTTCCGTCATTTTTCAGTGTCTTATTTTAAAATTCCCATGTCTTTTTCTCTTCCCTCTCATCCTGCTGCTGCCTTTTCATCCCTCCTGTCATCCTGCTGACCTGTGGGGCCAGTTTTGCTCTCCGGTGCCCAGTTCTGGGGACAGGTGGCTCCTTTGAGCTTCCCCCCTTCCAATTGCAGAGCCGCGTGTGGTGACCGGGCAGGGATTTCTGTTGGTGCGGGGCCGTCCTTCCACTGCAGCGAGGAGACATGATGAGCTCAGCTAAATTGGTGCACCCTGCAGTTTTATTTGGATGGCGCTCACGTTGCCGAGCAGGGAAGCACCTGCAGCAGGGTGTGAAAGCAGCATTAATATCGATAGCAACCCCGAGCGACTCTGCTCCAGCGATAAGATAGGGCATGGCAGTGAGACAGCAAAAGTAGGCTGGTGTCCCTGAGTGGTTCCTAGTTCAAGTGGTCACCTAAAGAGATTTTGGAGAGGGCTGGGCAGGATGTGGGCGATGGGCAGCTCCAACACAAGCCGGAGGAGAGAGCGGCTTGGGGGCACAGATGCTCCCTCCCTGCCCGCCGCTGCCTCCTCCTCCTCCTCCCACAGCATTGATGGATGTGCCTTACCCCACCGGCCGAGAGGGCAGGCGCTCGCAAGGCAGGCGTGTGCTCTCCACCCGGCTCTTCAGCAGATGCGCTGAGAGCCATGCCTCTGCGAGAATTTTTATCTTCTTTTAATGCATGGACCTTCAGGTAGGTGTAGGAACGGCCAGCTGGGCCGTGAGCGCTCTCGCTGCAATCCAGCCATCACCAGGCGTGGGGGGACTCCTGCCTGCAGACAGCTGCCTGCCTGTGGGGCACCCCACCATCTCACCTGCCCCAGAGACCCTGCAGCTGCAGCAGGGCTGGGTGCTCTTCGTGGCACGTAAATTCATGTGAGAGCAGCTCAGGAGCTCCTTTCCCCTCTCCCCAGCACATCTCTGCAGTGTGCAAGCCCCGCCATGCATTACAAAAGGAAGGAAGAGCATTCCCCCTGAACATCCACCAAGATAAAAGAAGAGATTTTCCCTCTCTTTCAACCCTCAGGGGTGATCTGCAGGGGGTTTGGGTTGAGCTTCCAGAGGGGTAGTGCCGACAGAGGAATTACTGTGCTGGGCATGGTGTTTCCAGGCTGAGCCCTGAAGAGCTGTTGCTCCAGCCCTGCTGGCTCCAGCCGCAGCATAGGGGCTGTGCTGGGAGCATCCCTGCCGGCAGAACCACCCCCAAATCCCCATGACACCAGCCAGGCTGCAGAGGAGTATCTGAGGGCAAAGGCTGGGTGGGGAGGAGGTGATGGAAGAAGTCGCAGCGACTTCTGGGACGTGGTTAAGTAATGGCAAGCTGAGGGTGGGCGATGGGGAGGAGTGACCCTATTTTGGGTAGGATGCTCAAAAGCGCTTGCGGTTGGTGGGGCTGCTCCGACAGGCATCTGTGCCGATGTTCTCGCTTGTAGCTGTAGAGCAGAGTCCCAGCCTGGCTAGACCCTCCGTTTGGTGAGCGAATCTGGCTCGTCAGGACAGCATGGAGCTGGGGTCCCCTGCTTGTGTGACCTCTAAATTCAGCTTTGCTTCCCGTGGTGGTGTGGGCAGCAGCATCCTCAGCGCTCAGCCTATTTCTCTGATGCCCAGTTTTTGCCGTTCTCCCACAGGTGGAGGCAGAGGAGCACCAGGACGTGGTGGTCTATGACCAGAGCACGCGGGACGTGACCGGCTTGGCTGCCGACAGCTTCCTTTCCATCCTCCTGGGCAAACTGGACAGTTGTTTCCACAGCGTCTCCATCCTCACAGGTAGGACCCCTGGGTTACTGCTTCCCTTGGTGCTCGTGCCCTTAGTCTGGAGTCACGGGGCTGCGGCCACGCACGTTCATCTGTGCCTGCTTTCCTGGCCACCAGTGGCTGTGGCATCAGTGGGCATGTGGACCGGGGAGGCTCGACCCCCCCGGCATTGCTGGATCCCCCCCGTGCATTCATTCCTTGCTCTGTCCAGTCCCCTGCCACTGCGCCTGCCAGCCAGGGTGAATGAGAGGGGAGGGTACCAGAGAGGTCATGGTGTCACAGATCCAGCCACCCAAAAGCTGCCCTTCGTTCCCCCAGCCTGGCGCTGTTTCATCCCTGGTGAACGTGCCAAGGGCCGGACCCAGTTCGGGCACTCTGCTCCTTCTTGCTGCTGTTAAAGGGAGGGCAGGAGAGGAAATCCATGGATGTGCCAGGAAGGGGAAGGAGGGCAGAGGCAGAGGGTCATCCCTGGGTGAGTCAGGGTCTGCTGGAGATGATGCTCCCTGGGTGCGAGGGCACAGGCAGGAGGAGGCACGCGCTGCCCTAATTATAGCCCTTCTGCAGAGCAAAATGGGAGGCAGGCGACCAATGAATGAAATGCTCTGACCCAGCAGAGAGGAGGAGAAAGAGGCAGCGAGCTGCCGAAGGGAGAGTTAAAGATGCCTTTAATTCCCCATGGCTGGGATGGCCAGGCGTCTGCCTGGCTGGCTGCCCACCTCTGAGCTTTCTGCCTGCGGAGGGGTGGGCAGGCGCAGCCCCACACGGCTCCGCTGAGCTCAGCCAGGCTCCTAGGTAGGGCTGAAAGCACAGAGATGGGAATCATCCCCATTCCCCAACCCTGTCCTCATCCTGCAGTGATTAGGTACTGCTTTGGGGCTGAGGTGGAGGGTACCAACCTCTGTGTCCCTGGGGCATCGCAGGGATGGAGGGAGCAGCCGTCGCCACAAACCCGGCAGCGTGACAAGCCCTGGGGGGGAGGTGTTGTGATGGGGAAGGTGGCACAAGTGAGTGGCATTCGGGGAGTCTTGCTCGTGCATGGCATGGGTAAGCGAATCAGAGCAACTGTGTCGTGATGGGGAGAACAGAGAGGAGAAATAGCGGGAATAAAACCCCCAGCTCCAGGGTTTCAAATGCAAGTAGGGACTATGTGAAATCGTGTTGAAGCTAATTAGCGTGGCCTGGCTTGCAGGAGCTCTGTTGAGGCCAGAGCTGGAGGATGCTGCTGCAAGCTTGCTACGGCAGCCCCCGGCCCACCCCAGCGGCTGTGCCCGTGGCTCCAAGGTCATCACAGCATAAACAAGGGCACAGCTTGGCGCACGGTGCAGGAGAAGGAGAAGGCGGATTTGGTCGCATATGGGAAGGAACCTGCTTAGTCACCGGGACGGGTCAGGAAACAGACTTCATGGTGTGACCCCAGCACCCCCCAACCCGCTGCTGCTTTCCCAGGGCCAGGCGAGGGGCAGCGCTATGCGCTGGCAGCAAACCCCCTGCCCCAAGTCCTTCTGGAGAAGGGATGGGGCCAGGTGAGCTGGCCCTGAAAGCCCTGGAGCCTTCTCCTCCCTGGGAAAGTGAGGGGAGGCTTGGGGGACCCAAGCTGCATGCACAGCATGCCCCATGCTGGGTGAGGACCGGCGGCGCGCCCCCCGCCCCAGCCATCAGCATCACCACTGCTGAGCCCCCACAAACCTGCACCCCACTTGGGCACATGCATCCTCCATCTTCAGGGTGGCCATTTCCATCTCCATGGGCTGCAGGAGCCCAGATCCCCAAGCAGGGGTGGGGGCTATGCTAGGCACCAAGCAAAGCTTAAACCTCCCTGATTAAAAGTGCTGCAGGGCTGCAGCCTGATGGGGAACGCACGCTGCCAGCGGGTGGAAAAAATGGGAACCAAAATGTAGAACACTGGGTCATGGCGGCGGCATTCTACATGGAAATCGTGACTGGAAGCGGCTGCGGAGAGCGTCTGGGGGAGGCTGGGCACGCTTGCCAACACGAGCGGCTTCCTCCTGCCTGTGGTGTGGGCAGCAGCCGGGTTGTTTTAGAGGCAGCAGCTTTTGGGAGGTTTGAGAGGGGATGTGCAGGCTGGGCCCAATTCTGACCCCTCACGCTCATGAGGTTTAACCCCTCGGTCTGTCTGCTCCGGGCTCAGGTACCTCATCCTGCCCCAACCCATCCCATGTCCCAGAAGAGGTACCTGGGTCTTCCCTGGAGGTGGCTGGCAAGGGCTGCCAAAATCTAAGGGCCCTTCCCTGAACTCTCAGCCTGTCCCTAAGTGTTTGCCAGCATCCCAGGGAACCCCGTACTCAGGGTCCCCAAACCCCTGTGCCAGCCTGACACAGCCCCAAAACCTCCCGAGCCCCTCTGTGCCCCACAGCTCTCCTCAGCCCCAGCAGATGTTCCTCCAGGGGTGGCGTACATCCGTGCCTCAGTGTCCCCATCTCGTGCAAATGCCGTGCTTGGCTGTTCTTGCTCGCCTCCAGCCCACCATCCTTCAGACCCTTGAAGCAGCTGGTGGAGGCTGACGGGCAAGGACAGGGGAGCTGGGGGTGGCAAGCGTGACAGCGGGGACCCTCAAGGGTTAACAGCTCAGAAGAAGCAATTCCAAGGGGCTGGGAAGGAGGAATCTGAGTCAATTATTCCCAGTCTTGGAAATCATCGGCTTCTCTTCTTTTTTTTCCTTTTTTTTTTTTTTTTTTTTTTAATTGTGTAAGTATAAATAGTGCTGCTTGCTGCCCTCCATCCGTGGGAGCAGAAAGCCTGTTGATTTATATGGTTTTCCTGACATCACATGAAGTGGTGGAAAACTGAATGGAGCCAACATTTTTCCTGCATTACGTAATGCCCCCTCCCTCCCTCCCGGCCCAGCTCTGCTATTCCTGCAGGAGCCTGACTGTTCTTTAACCTTTGTTTACTTCAACACAAGCCCTCGCTTTTTTGCTTTTTTTTTTTTTTTTTTCTTTTTTCAGCAAGTGTACTCACCTGGTAGGTTTTCTTGCACTTTCATGGCTTTGGTCTGGCTCCATCGCTCCCTGATGGCTCCCGTGTGCCAGCTCTTGCGTTGGAGCCCAGCCAGAGCTGTAGTGTAGTGCTGAACTCCTGGGTGCTGAGCTTCCCCAGCTCCTCTCCAGTTTGTCCAGCTGCAGCAGAGGGTGGGGAAGATCTTTCTTTGCTCCCATTCATCAGCTAAAAGTGATAACCGAGGGCTTGGGATGTTCATCCAGATGATGCTCAGGCACCCATCCTTGGGCTCCTCTTTCCTGTGCCCGAAGCCGTACGCCAGCCGGAGACGAAACGGGGGTGGCAGCGTGGCCAGCAGCGGTGGTCCCTGAAGCCCAGACTGCTGGGGTTGGGACCCCCCCCTTGCACGGCAGAGGCTCTTTTTGGTGCGTTTTCATGCGCTGGGGGAGCTTTATCATTGCGATATCGTGCTTCGACCTGAAACAGGCCCCTCGCTTGCTTTCTGAACTCAAGTCATGAGCTTTTCATCTGGCTCGGGAGTGCATGTGAGATCATCTTTAGCCC